TTTTGAAATAATCTTCTTATATGCCACTCTGACCCCTTCCTAAAACGTTTTAATCTTTTTCCACTGACTAAACAACCTATGCATTTGTCTCTCGACATTTACTGCATACAGTTTGTCTGGTTTATTTCATACTGATTTAACTGTTTTACCAGGAGTGGATATCTAGGTATTAACCATTTATAGTGTTAAAGTGAAGGATGTTGAAGTTGTTCAAGTGTAAAAGCTTAAACATTTAAAATATTTTAAAACTTCCCGGTTTGGGGAAAAACTATATATTTATTTGTATAGTGTAGCAACGTAACTTGATACTGATGCACTGAAACCCTAATAAAACTGCTGATTATTTTCCGGTGATCAGTTTTTTGTGGTGCAGTGTCCCAAAAAAAGACCTGTGGTTTCTATTCAGGCTTTTATTTTGTAGCCAGATAAAGATTCAAACGAGGGGAAAATAAATTCTTGTGATCATTAAAAAACATTGTGGAAAAATATACTGAAACACAACTGCTGCATGGTTTATTTTATCTTCAAACGACTCTGTGCATACAAATGATTTCCACACAGCAGGAGCCTCAACAACCAGCAGCAGAAGGTTGAGCAGGTCAGCACAGCATACGGTGCACAGACACACGCTCGGCCAGAAACTAATCCGTCACTTGGCGCTCTGGACTCTCTCCCAGATTTCAGGGAGTCAGATGGATCCTGCAATCTGCCCGTTTTCCTCATGTCACTTTTTCCGTCTCACTGTCACCTTATGTGTCCTCCCTCTTCCCTATTTTCCCGTCTATCCATCAGACGTGCGAGAGCGGGACCTGGTGGAACTGGTGTTGGAGGTCTCCGTATCGCAGGTGTCCCAACGCCAGCGCGACATGCTGCTGCGACAGGTTGGGGTTTTACTGGGTGTGCTCGACAGCGACATCATTGTGCGAGAGATCAGTGCGTTTAATGAGCACAGGTGACTTTGTCTCCAGATTTTAGACAAGTGTGCAAACCTGATGATGAAAGTCATGAAACCAACTGTGAACAGAGCTGGAATTATCCTTTGACAGTTTGTTTGTTTGTTTTCCACCCTCTTCCTCCATTCTCAGTACTCGTTTGGTCTTCCTGGTGTCCGGCGGCCCAGGGCGCCCTCCGCTGACGGGCCGTAATGTTGCACTCGGCCTGCGCAACAAACTGCGTAAACAGAAGAATGACTTCCTCATCTTTAAGGCCCGACGAGTGGATACAGTCAGTGAGTACCACATAAACGTTACGAAATGGAACAAGGAAAGGGGAAAAAGAGGTTTGATGCTTCTATGTTACAGCAGACTCTAAAAGCCTTGGTTTTTGGACATTCAAGGTCACAGTTGCATTGATTAATTTCTGATAAGTTCTTGAAATCATCAAGACGATGTCTCCCAGTTTTGTTTTGTTTTTAAGATACAGTGCAAAAATGTAAAAAATTGTCCTATTATTAGATTCCTCCTAAAAATTCCTGGATCCATATTTTGATCTGCATTGACTCCTAAAATGAATCACTGCTAAGATGGGCCAGTCCTCACTTCGGCTAAAATATCAAAGCTGATCCTTCCTTAGCATAATTTACACTTCTGTGTCTATACGTCTGTGTAGAGTCTACATTAGTGGTTGATGTTGATGTATTTGTTCCTGTGCCTGAATAGCTCTACAGCTTTGTCACCAAATTGTAGCTGTGGGGAAGTTTCTCTCTTTAAGTTGATGAATTTTCTTTCATTAGCTGTCAACTGACTAAACCAATCAGTCGTTACATGCTGTTTTTATGATGTAGATACAGCATAGATTTAATGCAGAAGAATAAATCTCACCGGATTCATCATTGAAGACTAGATGTAACCCTGACCCATAATCTTATCTTTTGGGGGGTCGTTATTAGAAAATGTATTTTGATGGGAGTCAGTTACAATGTCTATTCTTAAAATGTCTATTCTTGTCTTTGATTTCCAATCTTTTTTGTCTTTTTTTAAAGTTTAAAATCACAAATTTTGTCAGCAAAAGGTTAATATAAGGCTTCATATCAGATCAATTTGATTTATCCCAAAAGTATGGAAATTACTTTACAGCAGCTAAAATGATAAACACAGTCTGTAAAAAAACTAATGTAGCTCAATAAAACAGAATATAACAAAAAAGCTCAGTTTGATCAAACGGAAAGATTAAAGAGCTCCATTAAACAGAAGTGAAACAAAAAAGTCAAATAAGATTGATCAAAAAGTAAATAATTGAATATAAAATAACTAAATGGCTCTATAAGGTAAAACAAATGCACTAAAACAAATAAAATAAAATAAATTAGAATGAAAATAAACTGACTAAATGTAGCAAAAATAACAACAGTAAAATTTTCCTTGACATTAAAGTGTACACAGAGTGTAAAACATGGTGTATTGATCACAGAAAATGACTCAGTCCTCACAGGGTTATGTTTTTGAGTAATCCCACCTACAGACAAACTGAACTTATCACAGACACACTGTTTAATGCCATAAACCATAAAAATCAGACTGTTATTATTCAGTCATGCTCGTGCAGTCTGCAGTCTTTGGCTCGGTTAATGATGCAAGGTCAAAGTTTTAGATTTCTTAGCCATTTCTAAGTCATATAAGTATTTCTTTAGCACTTTAAATCTGCTGTTTACCAAGTTTTAAAGCTCTGACGGTTTATTGAACATTGCTGTCGCTCTCCCTCCTCAGTCTGCCAGCTGAACTGCTCCGGCCACGGCGAGTGTGACTCATTCACGCGGCGCTGCGTCTGTCACCCTTTCTGGATGGAGAATTTTATCAGAGCTCAGTTCGGAGACGCAGAGAGCAACTGCGGTAAGAAGGGAGGCATTACAGTAAAATATAGAGTCGATAAACCAAAATCAATAAATAATCAATTTTATTGTTATGAAAATCTGACCCAGCAGATTATTATTTTAATTCTGTTGATAAGAATCAGAATAATCTCTGTCACTGTATTCAGGGACGCACGGCGAGTCTTTTGTGACTTTGTTGTCGAAGCTGCCTTGCATTACTTTAGAGCTGTTTTAATATTACACACTTTTTACCACATAATTTTTTCTGTTTTCAGAGTGGAGCGTGCTCTATGTGACGATAGCATCCTTTATGATTGTGGTTGCTGCGGCAACATTTGTATGGGGGATAGTTTGTTGCTGCAACAGGTGAGTTTGTTATCTAAATTATTTTTTAATATTCTGTCAGGATTATTGTTAAATAACTTTATGGGGGTAATGGTCATTCATTCCCTGTGTGTTTATTTTCCTGTAAGGCGTAAGAGCAAAGTGCGCAGGAGTAAAAGTCGATACAAAATGTTAGAAGCTGATGATCAGGACTGTTTGGAGCTGCAACTGCCAAGAGCTGGTAAGATGGACGTGTTCACGTAAACTCACACCACCGCCGGCATTTAGCCTGTTAACACTCACAGAAACAGGCAGAGAGTAAATTCTGCTGCTTCTGTATTTTGACTGGAACTTGAACATCTTGAATCAAATTTTACAGAGATAACAACGATACCAGTACTTCCTTACTTTGTAATAAGATTGCATGCACAGCTACGGTTTTTCTTTTGTGTATTTTTCTAAGATTATTTGTTTGGGCCATTTTTTTTCCTTTATTAGATTAGATTAGGAAAGTATATAGACATGAAAGCGAGGGAATATGCAGAGCAAAGGCCTGCAAGTTGACCCGAGTCGATGCTTTCGGCCTTTGTGGCAAATCGCAGCATGAGCTAAACACCGTTTTCCAACTTTAGCAAAAACTTTTTTTTTTTTAAATGATGAGTGTGAATGTTGTTTGGTTAGTCATATTTACAGTTAATTTACCCAATGCTCTTCAAAAATAACTGCCCAAATAAACAGTGAAGGTGTTAACAAATGGTAAAACTCGACTTTTTCTTTCTGTAAAGATTTCTTTTGATAAGTTAACACTGATGTAAATGTTTAGCCAATGTTTCTATTTTAGCCACAATACAAAAAAATGGATGTTTCAAAGACTGAGTTAAATTTTCTGCATAGTCAATGTTTAGGACGGCTCCATCACACCGTTTCTTTCGCTTCTGTTCTCCTCTTTCTCGTTCAGCACGCCTGAAGCCTGTTCCCGCACCCACTTCCTCTGCCCTCATGCACTCGGACTCTGACCTGGACAGTGACGAAGGGCAGGGCGGGATCCCGTGGACGGATCAGGAGCGCGGGCAGCTTCTGAGGCCTCAGAATGGCTCCCTGAGGAATGGCCAGGGGCCGGTGAGGGCCAAGAAGCAGAGAGAGGAGCGGCTATAGCAAGAGAGGAGGGGGGAGCTCACAGCTACCCTCACACAGCTCTTCCCCTTCACGCCTCCTCTTTCCCCTTCATTGGTCTTCAACACAAAAACCTCACACTTCTCGTGAAGACAGACTGGGAGATACCCGAGTTAGGAAGAGGGAGAAAGGAGGAGATGTTGGGACCGTGTGGTCCCACTGTCACAGAAAAAACACCACGTTACTGAAGCTTCCCTGCACCCACACTGAGCCAGAACGACGTGAAAAAGAAGCTGCCATTACACTGCAAACCAGGGGTGAGCACTGTGTTTTGAATGATATAAAATATTAATTAGACCCCTGTTATTTAACACAGAGACATAAAGAATGTAGTGCTGCCCCTCTCCTGCTGCTGGCTTACAAAGGTTGGGAGACTGTGTGAGAGGAAGTAGCTCGAATGACTTTTTAAGATGAGGAAAAACAAAACTGCTTCAATGACACGAAAACCAGCCACCTGGCACGCTCACACCTTGCCTCTTGTAGACACGCATGTACAAACACGTTGTATTCACGCCATTTCAGGTCGACCTGATGCTACCAAACACTGCCATTTTTAAATTAATGGTTAACTTTGCTCTGATTGTTTCTGTTCATCTGAAGCATGACGGAGAGGGGGAAAAAAAAAAAGACAACCAACCAACAACCAAAACTGATCTGAGCTGCCAACGGCTCGGAGAAACCACCTCAGAAAATATTTTAAATAATTTATGTGCATGAAGAGCGACAGATTGCAGCTCTGGTACAACCTGATACGATCGGCTGCATGTTTGTATGTCAGGTGTATGTGTGGATTTCTGTGGCTGCTGTGCCAAAAGATGTTTCCTCAGAACAGTTTCTATGCTTCTTTTTTTTTTTTTTTTGCTTTTTTTATGTTTTTATGAACCCACAGAAGAGTCACAGTGTTGTAAGGTTTTATTCTCAAGGCTTCTCTGTGGATTAAATAACTGGAGTACACAACTGTAACAAAGGTGGTCTCAGTGAGGAAGGAAGTTGGGAAAAAGATGAAGAACAGGAGATTGAAGGACAGACCGCTGCTTCCTCATCACCTTTGGTAATGTGACGACTGCTTCAACCCTGAAGACCACAGAGTTTTTGTTACTGTTTCTACAAACAACCTTTTGGCTGTGATTAGACGTGGATGCACTTTGATTTTAATGTCTGCTGTCTCACTTTGTCTCTTGTTGGTTTAAAAAAAGGGAGAGGTTCGTATGTGACAGTTGGAAGTTGGGAGGTTCAGCCATAAACGCAGGACTTTGCGGTACTGAATATGTAGGAAGAATGTCCATCAGTAATGTAATTCTCCATGCTTTACACTCATCTCCATGATGCAAGCAGCTCTAAATTTTGCAGACTCGCAGCACACTTGGACAAGCATGCCTTTTTACTGCTCAACTAAATGTTTAAATCCATCAAAAAGCCAAGTCACAAGTCACAATATCATTTTTCTGGATTTAATGGTATTCATCCTCTTCAGTATGACCATTAAAAGATCTTCTTTTAAAGTGATTTTGATGTTATGGAGTTGAAGTAAAAATCCACAGGCCCTGTGCTGTGCAAAAAACATAGAAACACAGTGTTTTTTAGCAAGGTTAAAACAGATTTCAAGCTGACTCGGATGTGAGGAAAATCTTTGAAAAGGTAAAATATGTTTTCTATTTTCTAATGCAAACTTACTTTAAGTGTACGAGTGAGCTGCGCATCCGATCGGAGATAAAACTGTACTAAATCCCGAAAACAAATTATTTCTTCCCACGGACAGGACATAAGCAGGAGGTTAATCTGAAGGATGTTTACGTACGCTTTGAGCAGATTACCAGAAATAAACCACAAACGGGGCCCAGCAGGAAGGCTTTGTTTGTTCATCAGCAGTAATCTGAGGTGTTTCTTGGCTGGACTGTACCGACAGACAAACTAGCAGAACGACTCTCCCCGATGTATCATCTCACAGTGTGATTGCTTTGCATGCAGAATGTGAAACTGACACATGTAAGTCCTCATCTGGAGGCACACTTTTCTATGTTCGTTGTTGAATGTTAAAAGGGTACATCATTGATTCAGTTCAGCTTGTACTCTGTGCGAAATAAGCTGGGGTTTGTTTTTGGGGTTTTTTTTCTCAAATTACTGCAAAAAGTCATCTCATGCCGATGTTGGATCTGCTGCACTAAATGTGTTTTATTCGCACCTGCTGAATTTATCGGGCCATGTTTTTTTGCCCTCCTGTGGGAGGCAAATTAAAATCAAGCACACCCAGGTGCCAGCAACGTCAAACCACTGAAAAAAATCTCATGTTGTCTTGTTTTTGTTTTTTTTGGGAATAACAGCCAAATTGTTTTTGATGGACTCATCTTTTTTTTTTCTTTTTCTTTTTTTTTTGTCTCCCAAAGCTCCTTTTACAGTTAAAAGGAGGACACAAAAATATTGTGTTGTCTGCTGTTACGTTTGGGATTTGTTTAGATGCAAGTGAACTGACCTTGACTCCAAGAGTCCACTGTGAAGGCAGAGATAAATGAGGAGAAACTGTTAAATGAAAGGGGTGTAATTGTTTATTTGTTTTTAATATTTTATTATTAATAAAGTTTTAGTGAAGGATGACCCCTTCTTTTGTTCTGTGATCCTGCTGATGCAACTGGATAATGTGTAAATTAAAATTAAAAAAACAAAAAAACAGTGTTGGCTTGTTCTTGCGTTGTGTAATCTGAACAAAATTACCTCTGATTAAGGTAAAAACAATAGACTTTTATTCTTTTTTTTTTTCTCTCTGTGCTTTCTCTGTGTCTTTGTATTAGTTGTTTTTCTCCACAGCCTGCACAATTCAAAGGAAGCGCCTGTGTGTGATCTGAGAAAACTTTGTGGGAAAAAGTTTTGCCTGGATAAAACTTTTGAGGTGTTTGTTTTGCTCTGAAATGGAGATGAGTCATTTTTATATTACACAAAAGTTCTGCTTTATCACCTGGTTGGAAAATAATTTAATTTCTTTGTTGCGCTTTCATTACATATTATAGGGTCGGTATAACATTTACTTTTCTGATTACAGGGGATCCAAACACAAGTGTATCGTTGGACTGATCCTCTGGTTGGTCTTTTCATTTACTTTTATAAGCCTGCTGCCCTCGATGGTTTGTCCTTTGCACATTTTGGGAGATAATGGAGTCCTTAAAAGATGATAATCGAGGTCTCCCTTCTCTGTCCTGTTATTCCTCCTCACTGTGGATCGATGCCTGTTTATAAGGCATGTATATAAGAAGACAGGATAAATATTTGCATGTTTTCAACGTCTCTGCAGTCAAAGTTTTGCTTCTTTTCTCAACTATTCGCAAATACAGTGTCTTAAACATGAAATGGGACAAATCATGAATGTGCAGCTGACAAATCTGTGTGATGCTATCATGTCAATATGGACCAAGATCTCTCAGGAATGTTTCCAGCACCTCCAATTTCACATGAATATAGTGTCTTAAACATGGGACTATAGAGAATTCATATTTATGTTATCATAATGTTTGTTTGTTTTTTCACTTAAATTTGAGTTAATTTGCAGAAGTATGATAGTGACTGTGACCACCAGCTTTCTTCAGTGAGTGAATGAGTGTGTGGTGCTGATGATCCACAGCCACACTCCAGGATGGAGGAAACCTGGGAAAGACTCAAAAAGGGTCCAGCTCCAGCAACACTTGTAGTGTAAAGAACAGCTTTATCACTTGACCAAGTAATAATTAATACTTGGCACGGCAAGTGTTGCTGGTGCTGGGCCTTTTTAGATTCTCCATTCACACTGGAAGTAGGTGAAGTGCTAAAAGCATCTTTAGTGACTCCACACAGACCATATATAAATATATTTGTTTGTTTGAATATTTGTGGGAATAACTAAGGGGGGTTATTATATCCCGTTCTGTGTAAAACAAACGCTAGATTGTTTGGTTATAATAATAAGAACCCTTAGTTGTCGCCCTTATTTGAATCAGTGAAGTCGCTTCATTGCTTTTGTGCACATTTACACAGTTGTGTGCATGTTTTCTGTATGTGTGACAGCTTTTTTCCACTCTGTAAAGTGGGGCAAACATGTCCAGACAAGAAAAAACACACCACATGAAATACACAACTCTGCGTGTTTTTCCTGCAAATGTTCGGAGGAACTTCTCCTTTAGAGGCGCTGCCTCTTCTGTTATTTTTATGATGTCATATCTCACTGCCTGCAGATATGTTGTTACGAGGGGGAGAAAAGTACTTAGTTCTTCTATGTTTTCCCCTCTGCCTCTCTTCGTATATTGCTGCACTCTGCCTCTCGCACTCCTTATATGGGAAAGGAATTAGTTGCGCGAACAAGGGCGGAAACGTGGCGCGGTGAGCGCTGGGTAAATTCGGCGACATACAGGAAGAAAGAGACGAAGCCCAGTCTGCTTACTGCACACTCCCACAGCAGCGACAACATAAAGGACCGAATCACTGCTCGACCAGTTTAGCAGGTAAGCAGCCGGTGTGCTGTCTTTTTCGGTATTTGCACTGTGGGGTTTGTGACTCAATTAGCGGCTTTCTGCAGAAGCGGAAAATCAAATCTGAGACGAGAGGGAGAGAGAGCGCACAGCCGCTTCCTCCTTCACCGAGAATCATTCAGAAATTACATCTTGAGTACGGTGTGATGCTAACGCAGCCGGCTAGCCGAGGTTAGCCGCAAAAGCTGACGCTGGTCTCACTTAAACCGTTAACATGTCTGCAGCCCTGTAGTCAGCCTTTACTTCGTCTTGCTGTGTTCTCTTATTAAAAGTGGAAACTTCTCTTTTTAGTCTTTTTTTCTTCCCTTTCCTCCTCTGCAGAGTAGTGCAGCATTAGCTGACACAGGGAGGGGTGTGTGTGTGTGTTTCAGAGGAGAGAGAGAGAGAGAGAGAGGGGAAAAAAATCCAGGAAATAGTCAAACTGACAGCAGACGCTCAACAGCAGACGCTCAACAGCAGGGAGGGGACGTATAAAAACACCACCCCAGCTTTTTAAATATGTGTCGACTTTGTATAAGGTGGTGTAATTTTTTAAAAAAAGAAGAGGTTTATCTGGGGTTACGTTAGCTAGCTCTGGTTGTCGGCGTTGGTGTTGAAATTTAAATAATTTCTAAGCGGTGTAACGGCTCTTCAGAACGGCTTAACGCTATTTCTTAACCTGTAACTCTTCAGGACACTATAACGTTACTTGAGAAAGGTGTTTCTTAACCTCAAGAGCCACGAGTACACAATAAAACTATTTAACTGAGGTTTGAGTGGTGGGGCTAAAGTTGTAACGGCTAGCTTTAGCCGGTGATCGCATTATCAGCAGCGGCTTGAGTGCGATTTGGTTGAGCTTTGAGCCCACCGAAATAGGTCTGGGAGGGCGCCCTGCTTTCCATGTCTGCCACGGTTACAAACAGTGTTTCCCTATGCAAATAGATTTGGAAGAAAAACCAAGGTTGCAAATGCAGGAGTGGACGCTCGCTCCTTTATGTCTGGACGTCTTGCCCCCAGGCAGACACACAAACCCTCACACAGGCCTAACTAACCTACTTCACTGCCCCTGCGTGCTGATGGGAGCTCTGTGCACAACATTTCTTTCATGTAGACAACAAATGAGGTCGATGAGATCAGTTTGATAGGGTTACAGACAGATTTCAGATTTTCAGTTACATAGGTATTATTCATTAGTACAATACACTAGAGGACTAATGAGAGACTGCCACTCCTCATCTAAAGACTACTTGGAATTTGTAGTCTGACGTTAAGATTTTGCATAGACTGGGGTCACTATTTGCAAGGAGACAGGTAGATTCCTTTTAAGCTAATTTCCCATAGTGCACTGCATGGAAATGTACAAAAAGCTAAAGTTGCTGGAGGCAGGTTTTTGGCCACACCTGCTCTTGTTTGTCCAGTGGTTTGTTCTAAAAAAACCAGCCCAAAAGGGAATAAAAAGGGGAGTAAATGCACCTGTTGGTTGTTGATAGTACTCATGTGTTTGAGTTTTAATATTTGCATAAGTTGATAAAAAGAAATGCAATATGTAAACTATGTGAGGAAGACCACACTTATTGAGCTTTATGATCACTTTACACCAAATGATTGAGATAAGAGCATGCCACAACTTTACAAAACTCCCAGTTTTATTGCAGCATCAGTCATTTGTTTGCACTGTTTGAAAGTGTGCCTTCATACTCCTGGTATGAACTACAAGCTTCTATAATTGTACAAGCTACAGATTTAGCTTTAATCTAAGGAAAATAGAACTGAAGGAATGACTCCCTGGCTGCCGTCACGTCTCTGGTTTTGTCTTCGTCTGTAGCGTTTCCTTGGTGGTCAGCACTTGGCCCGAACCTACGCCGCCACTTTGCTTTGGTGCACATAAAAATAAGCATTTGAAGTGAAGTAACTGGGCATCAAGTTAACTCAAATGTGCTTTGCTCTGGGATTTGCAATTTGCTAGATATGGATAAAGTTTGTTAGTGTTGGTGTAAACAACAGTTAGCCACCTACAGGGCTGGGTTTGTGGTGTTGTTGTTTTTTTGTTGTTTTTTTCCTCAGCTGTTACACCATTTAGGGGCCGCTCCCTCCCTGTGCTGCAGGTGAGTCATGTCTCATGAGACCAGGAAGTGCTGGACTCTGGTATATGCAGGTATAAATGCTCACTGCCGTGGTGCTAAACAGAATGTGGGTCAAGGGTAGAGAGGGCTTTTGTTTCCTGCTGTGATCTAATTCATCTCAGAGTCTGCTGCACAAATTAATGCGTAACTCTCTGTGAAAGACAGAGGAAAAGGGGAAGTTTAGGTATTGTGTGCTTCTTATTCAGTCTGCTGTAAAAGGAAGAAATAGTGCATTTTTTTAAAAATAACTTCATGTAATGTCTTGCCACCTCACCTGCTGATAACACTCTATTGAATGGATTCACCTAACAGCCTCAGGGTTGATATAATACAGTACATGACTGCCTCTCCTATTTAATGATCAGAAATCAAGTTGAAATGCTGTAATTATTTTTAGTGATGCAGTATTTTACCTTTATTTAACCAGGAAGTCTGACTGAGGTAGGAGTCATGCAGA